GGGAAGGGAGAAAATTGCGGCAATGAATGAATGGAAATCCAAAACCTCTGTAAAAAAAAATTTAAAAAAAGAAAAAACCAAACCAAAACAAACCTTTTGCTGGCGAGGTGATTCCAAGTCGTTGCTTCCCAATGCACTAAACTTACTGCTGTGAAGTCAAAATTTCAATTCTGACCCATAATTAACCAGTAAGGCAATGTAGAACAGCTTCATAGGTTTCTAAGGGAAAAGACGTCTTTCTCTGTAGAGCAGCTAGTAAATTTGTTCTACCAACCTTTCTGTTAGTTTCTAAAATCTAATTGATAAATATTGAATTATTTTGTCAATCCCTTATTGCTGGTCATTTGAATGTTTCCAGCCTTTTACTATTACTAGCAAAGCTGTAGGAAATAACTTTGTTACATTACTGACTTGAGAGTCTATCTATGGATTAAATTTACGAAACTGTTGTGTTAGCAGTTTATACATTTGAGCTTAATAAATATAGTACCAAATAGTTCTCAATGAAGAGTTTATACCAATTTTTATTCCTATTTTTTACATGTTTCTATTGTTTCCCCCACATTCTTGTTAATACTAGATTTTCCCCAACTTTTGGAGCTTTGGTACAATAGATAGGTTAAAAATGTTATCTTAGTATAGATTTAATTTTATTATCAGTAAGGTTGAACATCTTTTCATATAACCCAGTTATGATCCCTTTTCTGTTATCTTTTACTCATTTTCTGTTGGTCCACTAAGACTTTTTTAAGGATTTGATAAAACTACCTGTATTAAGGAGAATAAAACCTTTTAAAATACATTACAAATATTGTCCTCTGCTTATTATTTACTTTTGATTGAGTTTAGGGTGTATTTTACCATGTACCAGCTCCTGATAGTTATGTAATTATATTTAATCATAATAGTAGTGTCTTTGAAGTTATATAAATAACTAGGGTTTTTATTGTCATTATTGTTTATGTGTTACAGTTCTGTTTATTTTCAATTTTTCCTAGTGTATGGCATAGAATATGGAGCCAACTTATTTGTTTACTTATTTGTTTTTAGATTGTTAGTCCTTTATTCCTCACCAATTTGAACCATCATTTTTATAATACTTACAGAAGTAGTTAGGGTCTAATTCTGGTGTTTTAATACTGTTCCATTGGTGGTCTTTTTACTGTTACGCTACTTTAAAAAAATTGTGAAAATATACACAGCGCTGCGTTCACTAATACCACATCTACCACCTTTAAGATTCACTGACATTTGTTGCTGTTTTCATGTTAGACCACCAGAGTTGTGCTCTTTTTCCAAATTATTCTGCCACCAATAACATTAACTCAATGCCCACCAAACAAAATGTTCCATTTACTCGTCTTCCAATCCCATCTTCCCTTCCCATCCCTGGTAATATATAATCTTTGGTTTCTATATACTTGCTTATTTCATATAAGTGAGATACACTATTTGTCCTTTATGACTGACTTCTATTACTTACCTCGTGTTTTAAAGTTTCGTTCCTATTGGGACTTGTATCAGAGCTTAATTCTTCTTTATGACTGTTATATTCCATTGTATGTATATTTTAAAAAATTTCTTCCACTGATGCACGTTTTGGTGGTTTCCATTGTTTTGTTTGCTATTGTGAAATGCCACAGTGAACTTTGGTATACCTCTTTCTATTTGCATTCTTACCTTCACTTCTTCTGAACATATACCTATTGACATTTCTGGACCATATGGTGCTTCTGTGTTCAACTTTTTTTAGAAACTGTGTGACAGCTATTTTTAATTACCAAAACTTTGTATATTTTACAGTCTAATGTGTTTAATTCTTTTTCAGAGTTTACTTATATATTCTACTTTTTCCATATGGACTTTAAAATTAACTTTTTTAGTTGTTGAATAAGAGAACACTGGTTGCTATTGTTGAGATTAGGTTAAATTTTATTAAATTTAATACAACATGTTTTGCTTGGGTTTTTTTACACCAAAGGCATAGTCTGTCTTTCCATTTGTTCGAGTCTTTATTCAGGATTGTTTTGAAGTTGTTTTTTTCATTTCTAATTGAATGTACTCATTGGAGCTTTTGGGGGGTTTTTTAATCGCTTTGCCAAATAGTTTGAATATATGTTTACTTCCCATACAGATCAGCCTTTAGGGGGAAAATATCCTTAATCATGCAAAGAATATTCTAGCTTGAGTGTCAGGTTAATTCTAACTAAATTAACACATTGACATTCTGATCGTATACATTGCGTAAGTAGAGTTTTGGAGCCATTTTTTTAAATTGTGATTTTAATGAAAGTTTGCATAGAAATTGTATTTTCATTCATTAGTTATTGTACATTTTCATCCCTACTCACTCCATTTCACTTTTTAGAAAGAATTCATATTTGTTGCATAATTTCCTCCCTCTTGCTAATCCCTCTCCCAGTCCACTGTGTAATGTACTTCTTATTCTGGACTATTGTCATACAAATAATGCCAAATCATTTATTCCTTTTAAACAGTTATTTCCTTCATCCATTCTAATGCCGTGTTCATTATTTAACCCCTCTTTTCTTAGTTCCCCCCAAATACCATGCCAGCTGTTTTATAACAGTGATGTTAGGCAGTATTTGTCCTTTTGTCACTGAGATATTTCACTCAGCATACTGTCCTCCATGGTTACCCATGTTGTATAATATTTTATGAGTTCATTGTTTTTCAGTCCTGCGTTGTATGCCATTGTATGAATATACCGTAATTTTTCTATCCATTCATTTATTGATTGGCACTTGGGTTGCTTCCATCTCTTTGCTATTGTGAATCATGCAGCAATAAATATGGGTGTGCATATATCTGTTTGGGTGGCAGCTCTGGTTTCTTTAAGGTATTTTCCTAGTAGTGGAATTGCTAAGTCAGTGGTATAATTTTGGAGCCTTTGAGGCTAGCTTAGAACCAAATCCTAGATCTTAGGAAATTCGCCATTATAATTACTAGTATATGTCACCCAGTGAGGTAGCCTCTTGGTAGACAGCCAAATGACCTGACTCTGCAAACATGTATATTTTTGTTTTTAAAATCAGTAATTTGCTTAGATAACTTTACTATATTAAGTGAGAGCATTTAAGAACATTTACTATGCTTAGTAGATATATATAAAAATGACAGTTTCTTCTTCTGTTGCTAGTTTTTCTCCACCAGATTTTGAGAAAAGGAGTCTAATCTATACAACTAAATATGTGCTTTGGGAAATTACTGAGTAACAGTGATCATTGATCAAAATTTTAATGAGTATTTAAATTTTCATATATTACAGAACTTCACAAATTTATTTGGACAGCCACTAGTCTGCTTGCTTTCTCCTACAACATATCCAAAAGCTTTACAAGGTATGCCTTATTATTATTACCTGTTATATCAATAGTTTGCAAATGAACAATGACTATTAAATAACAATGACCTTTGTTCTCCCTTCTGTAATAAGCACTTTATATATTAGAGCATTTACTGTGGCAGATGCCAATCTGAAATCTATTCAGATACGTCATAAACAACCATACTTCCTGAATTTGTGCTACTATTAAGCCAGAAAAATGGAAATAATTCTAAAAGATATGATAAATCATTCCTTCCAAAAGGGTGATTTTCATCTCGTAATGGTGAGAAGCTCGTGATTTGTGAGTTTTTAAATTTTTTTTACAGGTGTCTATCTAAAAGCTAAGAAATCATCTATGTAGCATGATTTCTTGTTTCTTTGGCTACACACTTTAGGCATCTTTAAGCCCGTTAGACTTTTCATCTGGAAAACTTCTCTGTACCTGAGCGTTAGGATAACCTAATTGGCATTTAATGGGGTTTCTTTTACTACTGTTATCACTTTGTTGCACTTTAAAAATGAAAGAACCTGTTCTGAGTTGGCCAGAGAGACATGTTAGTGTTGTAGCCATTTCTCAGATGACTGAGAAATGAAAAACTTTTTGTCTTGAATAATTTACTCTTAATAAATACCACATAAAATCTTATTCTAACTCCCAGTCATTTAGGTAGGTAAACTACTAAACAAACCTTCATGCTGTTTTAGCAGTACTTGTCACTGTTTCACTATCTCCCTAACTGTGAATAGTGCTGGTGTCTCTCTGTGGGAGATGGCATTTTACTGCTACTTCCCAGCCAGAAGTCCTGTCTGCTGACATAGTTTGACACAGGAAGTGATGGTCAGCATTTGAATGCCTGAGAGAAGCTGGAGACTTTCACCGTTGTTTTGAGGTAAGTTCTGCTATTTAACAGGGAAAAACATATATAAATATTAAGTTTATGTATCCAGAAGTCAAATTATCCTACAGTAAGGGATAAAACTTACCTTCAAACAACGGTAAAATTCTCCTGCTTTGAGGACTTTGTTATCCTTTTTCTCATATTATTTCTGGATGAATGTAACTTCCTCCTATTACTTGAGAGTACTTGTAGCTGTTAATTTGTCTTTTCAGGAAGCACTTTTATTTAAAGTCACATGATCTAGAACATTAATGCCAAGATTATTCCATCGGAGATGCTTTTTTGTATCGAGGATAAAATTACTGACTCTGGAGGCAAACTTAATGATTTTTTCATCTCAATTCAACCACTAATTAGCTATATAAACATGGAAAGTTACTTAACTATTTTGTACCGCAGTTTCTTCACCCATCAAAAAGGAATGATTATAATAATAGCTACTTCATAGACTAATACAGGAACCTAATAAATACCTAATATATTTTTCATTATTATTAAAATACTGATTGGTATTACATGCCCTTAACATTTCTTTTGGTCTGGTATCCTGTCTTTTGTGCTAGCTATAATGCTTTGACATCTATTACAGAAACAGATTCAGAATTCTCTTTTGAGAAATATTATTTTATTTATCCATAGACATTTTTGCCAGTTACTTTTGCAAAAGTGAGCTAGCCCTTTATCTGGACACAAAAGCAGCAGATACCTAAATAATTCATTCCACAGACAGTACTAAAGTTAGCACACTAACCAGACAATACAGTTAGTATTCTCACAAGTCCAAATGCCCAGTTAAAATACAAATAACAGTGTAAGTGTGGTAAGTTTCACAAGAGAAAGCTCATGGAGCACATAATAGGATCATCTAACCAGCACTTGATGGTAAAGAAAGCATATAAAATGATTTTAAAACAAATTTGAAAGGTACATGGAATTTGGGCTGAGGGGATGATTCAGCAAGAATGTTCCAGCAGAGAAATAACAAGTGTTAAGGCCCTAAAGTAAGAGTGTTTCTAACACATTCAGACAAAATAGTGTAGGTCCTACTAGTTAATGTATTAGTTAAAAGCTAATAAGGTTCTTTAGGAGATTAAGTGAAAGATAGTAAATGTCGTAAAAAATATGTAAAAAGAGGAGTACCATGGGACCATTACATTAACTCTGTAGAGACTGAATTAGAAAGGATATTGGTGCAAACAAGGAGATAATGGTGGTTGGAGATAGTACCGTGACTGAGTATCTGGCTGCCAAAAAACACCAAGGCTATATATAACCAGCAGGACTTACTAATGTGTGTAAAGGTAAGGAAAGAGGTGGTGACAGATGGCTTCTCAAATTTTGAATTTAGGTGCTGGTACATGATGAGAAGTAGAGTTATAAGTAACAGAAAGGGAAAGAATTTGTTACTTGTTTTATATTAAGTTTGAGAGCTAGATTGAACAAATTGTTCAGAGAAGTATTGCACAATGTGGGTCCCATGTATGTTTTTAAATATTTTAGGATAGTTTGTTGTGTTATGTCAAGTGAGAACCAACTCTTAGCTGACCCACCATCAGGTTTTCTGAGGCAGTAAATCACATGAATGGAGCAGAGCAGCTGGTGGATGTGAACCTTTTGTCTTTGGATTGACAGTGCAACATCTTACCACTAAGCCACCAGTGTACTATCTCTAGTATAGTACTCACAATTTTTTTAAAGTAAAAAGAAACAAGTGAAATTAACATTAATGAGATAGTATCTTATACTCATTCACGCACTAATTGCTGTTAAGTCAGAACCAACTCAGCTGACTCTATCCAGTTTCTGAGTCTGTAAATCTAAGTAGAAGAGATTCTTCATCTTTCTTCCTTGTTTCCTCTACTTCCTACACACTGAGACCCTTGGCCTTTGGGTTAGCAGAGCAGCTCCTAGCAGACTACACCACCAAACCTAGTGTGTATTTACTTAGAAATCTAATGTGTATGTAGCACATTTCAGTTTGGACTAGTCACATTTTATGTACCCAGGACAATATACTTCTAAACTTCAAGTGTTCAATCTAGGCTACAGAGAGAGAACTGGAAATCAGAAGGAAAATGTAAGAGTAAGAAGGATCAGCAACATGTATGGCCAAAGAAAGAAAACTAGTAATATTTAAGGGATAGGGCAAGAAAGAACAACTCTTGAGGGAAAATGAAGATCAGCTATTTTTGGTGTTTACCAGATGAGTTCATCATGGATTTCCTATGATCCAGCATTTTTTTGTTTGGATGAAATTTATTACTTGGGTGAAATGGGTTAAGGAAGAAGATTAATTTTCCATTTGTCTTACGTTTACTACCTGGCCTGCATTCTCATACTTCTATGAAGAATCAGTTTCGCTTAATTATATGATTTTATTATATAGCTTTCATTGTATAGGTTATAGTTCTGTGAATGTTCCTCGGATATATCTCTTACCTATTATAAAGCTGTTGTCTATATATAACATGTTTGTTATTACAGATCAATCTCAACGAGGTAGCCTCTTCACTCTCTTTTTGAACAATCCTCTAATGGCCTTCCTGTTTGTCTCTGGATTATCAAACATGCCTAGAGGCCTGTGGGAAAAGTGTCAAGAGTACCTTCGAAAAATCAACCGAGATATTGCCCAGCTACTGACTCATTCACGTTCAATAGGTACCCTACTAATCTAACTGAACTCTTAACAGAATGTACTTTTATGGATCAGTCTAATTACTTTATTTTAAATTGTTTATGTTGTTAAAGGTATTTGTCCCAGGCAGGAAAATTGAGAAGGTTTTCCTCCCTTTTGGCATTATATGGAAAATACATTTAAGCTTCCTTTTATTGTCACCTTTTCTCCTCTTTGCAGATCAGGCATTTCTTCAGTTTTTTGGAGATGAATTTCTTCGCTTGCTCCTCACAAGGTTTATCTTTTGTTCTGCCACCATGAGGATGCACAAGATTTTTCGGGTACGCAAAGGAATTTTAGAAAAATATTGCCCTTTCAATTAGGTATTTCAGAATAATAATATAATTCAATGTAAAATAAAGTTTAGAAACATAAAAAATCATATTTATGCATGAATTTGTATGGAACAGAGGTTAACAGTATAAATCACATTTCATTATTTCTCAGTCAAAAAGTGCAACATTTTCATTACCATCTGTAGTTTGTAGCTGATCTTAGCTCTTCTCTTTGCCTCTCAGTGAAAGTGCCATCCTGAATTTTATGCTGTTATTCACTTTTTTTGTTTTTCCACTTTTGAATATTCACTTTTCTTTAGAGGCTTATAACATTTAATTTCTACACAACTTATTGATGGAACCAATAGTAAATTGTCTTTTCCAGTTTGCTTTTGTCCTACTCTATTATTTATATTGGCATATCAGGAGTGGGATTCCATTTGATGACTGACATGTTCATTTCTTCTCCATTGTACTGATAATAGGCATTTATGTTATTCTTATTTATTATTTCCAGTGGTCCCATTATGAAATTCTTTCTCAGTTACCTTGTGTACCTTTATAAGACTTAGGGGAAGACACCTACTAGTAGAATTGCCAAGCTAAGTAATATAGGCATGGTCAACTCTTCTGCACAATGTGAAATTGTTTGGCAAAGTGTTAGAATCAATTTACATTCCTACCAGCAATGTGTAAGACTATTAGAGCTTTTAATTTCAAAGTACTGGTAATTGTTTTCCATCATTTTATTATACTACTTTTTAATTGTGAAATAATTACATAGTAAATATCCAGTATACTTTCCACATGGATTCTTTTGGTATATTTGCTCTCTCATATTTGTCCATCTTTTCATCCTACTTCATTCCTCAGTATATCTCAGTTTTCATTATTTTAAGATAAATTATGGATATAAGTATACTTAACTGCTAAATGTTTAATAATGCATGTAAGTAACCAGAATTACATATACATTTACTGTTTTTTAAACTATTTTTATTTCATTATTGTTATTATACACTAACTTGATTGATATTTGTTATTACTGTTGTGCTTTATAATTCTCTATATTTACTTTAACATAACATTTACATACAGTGAAATGGCCCAAAACTATGGAATATACCAGTAGACAAAAAAACTCTGACAAATACACACGCAACCTAAACTTCTGTCAAATTATAGAACATAGCATTAGCCTAAAAGGATCTCTCAACCCCGTTCTCAGATTAGCTTCACCTTCGAGACAAGTACTGTTTTGATTATTTTCACTATAAATTAGTTTAATTTAGTTATTGTGAATCATGTAATTTGGAAATCATGATTTGGAAATCATGTGTTTTTTTCAGTATAATATTCAGATTCTTGACATTCGTCTGTATTCTTACCTAGATCAGTTGCTCTTCCTTTTTATTATATTGTAGGATTCCATTGTCCGAATATTCAGTGCTTAGCAATTCTCCTGCTGATAAACACTTGAGCAGTTTACAAAGTTATTATTAACATTCTTATATGAATCTTTGTACAGACATACACTTTGAATTCTCTTATCCATAGAATAGTTTTGTGTAAAATTGACAGATCAAGTTCCTGTTCTACATCATTGCAAGCATTTGATGGTGTCAGTCTTTGAGGTTCTGCTGAATATGTAGTGACATTATAATTTTTATTTGCATTTCCTTGATGAATAAATTATTTTGAACATCTTTTCATGTTTCATAGTCACTCATAGAACTTATTTTATGGATAACTTTTTGAAATCATTTGCCCATTTTTTGGATTGTCTGTATTTTTATTGTTAAAATTTTTGTTTGTGTGTGTGTTCAGTATAAGAAAATTTTTGCATCTCCCAAAGTAAAAAATATGTTGTCCTAAAAGTTTTATAGTTGCAGCCTTTACATTTAAGTCAGTGGTTCATTTTGAGTTAAAATTCCTTTAGGATATGAAGTGAAGGTTATAGTTTTCAGGGCTTGTTTAGGTTGGTTTGGGTTTTGTGGTTTTGTGTTTTTTTTTTAATTTTTATGAATATACAGGTACACTCTTTCCATGCGTTTAACTGCCTCTGAAAACCCACTGGAGGGTCAGCTATGAGTTGCTTCTCAACAGTATATATCAACAACAGCTGTTACTCTAGTACCATTTCTTATAAAAGTTACCCTTTTCCCATTGAATTACATTAGCACCAAGAATGGTAAAAAAATCCATCAACTAT